TTAAAGAGTTATTAATAAATAAAGATACATGTACAAAGCGAATCTTGAAAAGTTCAATATTGAACATAATTTGCATAAATATTATTACACATACATATGCACATATGCATACATTTAGGCAAACATTCACGCGAAACAAAATGTACTTCATATTGTTCGCTTTCAATGCGAGATATTTATAATTATACGATTTTACATAGGTTTTCAGCTTGTCGCATAAAAAAAATTCACTCCATATTGCCTCTAGTGCTTTCAATGCAAAACAAAATCTATAATTATAGATCCCGTTTCTCTCGCATAGAGTGATGTAAGATAAATCTTACTTCGCGTAGAAAATTCCAAATCTATAGATTCTCCCTATATATTTATTTGGATAAAGTTCCGAATAGGTGAACCCTCCGATTTTTTTGAAACTACACTATTTTTTGTATTTTTTAACGCTGATTACAAATATGATAATGAAAATTTGCGACAAGGTCATTTTCAAGGTCAAAACTCAAAAAAACTGAAAAAATATAACTTTTTAGACATTATTTCAATAAATATTGATGTAACAAAAAAATGTTTCAAATAAAGGTTGCAGTTCTTAAAAAAATACATTATTTATGTTCTATAAATTTTTTGCGTGAAACTGAAAGTTTTCGAGAAAATCGATGTTAAAGACTAAAAACGGCGGGTGAAGTTCCGAAAAACTAGACAAATAGGTTTGCGTGGAACTTCGCTCTGCGTGGAAAGTTGCAAACCCATGTGGAACCTCGCTTCGCGTGGAAAAGTGTATGCGTGGAAACAGTGGGTTCCGCCCCCCTGCGGGGGGCTCCACTACCGAAAAACTAGACAAATAGGTTTGCGTGGAACTTCGCTCTGCGTGGAAAGTTGCAAACCCATGTGGAACCTGGCTTCGCGTGAAAAAGTGTATGCGTGGAAACAATGGGTTCCGCCCCCCTGCGGGGGGCTCCACTACCGAAAAACTAGACAAATAGGTTTGCGTGGAACTTCGCTCTGCGTGGAAAGTTGCAAACCCATGTGGAACCTGGCTTCGCGTGAAAAAGTGTATGCGTGGAAACAGTGGGTTCCGCCCCCCTGCGGGGGGCTCCACTACCGAAAAACTAGACAAATAGGTTTGCGTGGAACTTCGCTCTGCGTGGAAAGTTGCAAACCCATGTGGAACCTGGCTTCGCGTGAAAAAGTGTATGCGTGGAAACAGTGGGTTCCGCCCCCCTGCGGGGGGCTCCACTACCGAAAAACTAGACAAATAGGTTTGCGTGGAACCTCGCTCTACGTGGAAAGTTGTAAACCCATGTGGAATCGTATATGTACTGCAAAGTACATGCTTAGATGGGAGAACAGATATAAGATTTAGATTCCATCGTTTTTGTTGAAAACTATCGTACGGTAAAAATTAATAAGACATAAAATGTTTTTCTTTGTAAGATCTAAAATTGTTATGGGTTTTTCATGATTTTCACTATGAAAATGAGAGATGCACCAATTTTCATTATGATATTCGTAATCAGTGCATCAAAATACGTAAGAATACTGAGTTTCAAAAAAATCAGAGGTGAGCACTTTTCGGAACTTCACCTGCCGTTTTTATTCTTTAACATCGATTTTCTCGAAAACTTTCAGTTTTACGCAAAAAATGTATAGAACATAAATGATGTATTTTTACAAGAACTACAACTTTTATTTGACACATTTTTTCTTACATCAATATTTATCGAAATAATATTTAAAAAGTTATATTTTTTCAGTTTTTTTTAGTTTTGACCTTGAAAATGACCTTGTCGCAAATTTTCATTATCATATTCGTAATCAGCGTTCAAAAATACAAAAAATAGTGTAGTTTCAAAAAAATCGGAGGGTTCACCTATTCGGAACTCCACCCATTTATTTTTCATGTTTTTGACATTTTTGAATATTCTATATAAAGTATATCTGTATGATGCCTGTCTATGCCTGTCTATTCGTGTGTATGCGTAATAATATCTATATAAACTATATATGTCCAATATTGAGTCTCTTTCATTGTGTGTCAATCTACCTCGCTTTGCATGTATTTTCATTTGTTAATAACTTTCCATAAGCGATGAGCAATAGCTATGTAAAATCTTTTCAAGATTACTCAAAGTTATGGCAACATATATAATATAGGGGAAAGTAGGGTAAAACCGGGTACCTTTTTGGATTTATCTTCCTACGAAAAATCAGAGGGCAAACAAAATTCTACTGACCATTAGTAATCTTTAGTGGACCTTGAATTAAATGAGAAAATGAGGCTAATTGCTGAAAAAAAATATTTGGTTACCAAGGATAACAAGATTTTTTGAAGAAATCAAAATACCCGGTTTTGTCCCACCGATAGGGTAAAATCGGATACCCATTTGAAAGCATGTAAAACACTGTGCAATTACGAAATCTTGATTTATTTTAATCAAAATACAATATAAAAATGTATTCTATAAACAAAAATCATAAACAAAGACATCCTCTTGCTCTACATTGCTACAGGACTTTCTTATTTAATTTTTTAACTTTAGGAGTCTCAAAAAGATTTTCTTTTTAGTAATTTTTTTTCTGAGTGGCGGTCTTCATTTCCAACTGCTTTTTGTAGAGAGAGAAAGTCAGGATAACAGTTTTTCCTCTTTTCATTATATGAGATATGTAAGTACCCGATTTTACCCCAACACGAAGAAAATAACGCGGCGGTTGTACATTACGGCGTACAAAGCGATGATCAAAACTAGTGCGATATACTCTCTAATATATACAGAATGCAATGCTGCATTTACCAAAGTAGATGCTTTGTGCAGAAAATGTCTATAACAACTCGATTGTTGCCCCGATATCGATCTCTTTTGGCTCGAAAACTGTGAACTTCTCTCAAAAAAAAATATCGTGTGCACATGGGCACGGTTCATCTCGAAATAATGGCATCGATCTACAACTAATAACACGAGTTGGCCAAAGATAGTAACACTTATCACGAAGAAACAGAGATACTCGGTTTGACCCGCCTATCCGGTTTCCTCTATATTATACATATAATAAAAATATTTACAAAGCATATACAAAAAACAAAAATTTTAAAACATCACTCTCTATTTTTGATTATTTCAAACATCGATACTATTTGCAAAAATTCGAGAAACAGATAAAAAATGTTACATGCATGAAAAATCTAAAATTAGACACATATATTTTATCTTATAATTTGGCAAATGTGTTAAAATATGTGTAAAAATTTTTCATTGCACTCACAGGTTTGTATAGAACCACAAAGTTTAGCTTTCAATTGTATTATTATTTTATATAGGGGAATTATATATAGGGGAATTGTATATAGGGATATTATATTATATAGGGGAAAGTTGGGTCAAACCGGGTAGGCGGGTCAAACTGGGTATCCCTGTTTTTTCGTAATAAGTGCTGTTATCTATGGCAAACTTGTGTTATTAGTTATAGATTGGCGCCATCATTATTTTAAAACAAACCGTGCCCATGTGCACACGATATTTCTTTTTTAATAGAAGTTCAAAGTTTTTAGCCCCAAAAAGGTCGATATCGAGTCAAGAATCGAGTTGTCGTGCACTTTTTCTATATAGAGCATATGTTTCGGTAAGTGCAGCATTGAGCATATTAGAGAGTATATCATATTAGTTTTGATCGGCACTTTGTACGCCGGAATATACAAACGCCATATTTGTTACTTTCCTTGTGTTGGGACAAAACCGGATACTTACACATCTCATGTAATGAAAAGAAGAAGAACTGTTACCCTGACTTTGTCTCCCTACAAAAAGCAGTTGGAAACGAAAACTAACACTCAGAAAAAGAAACCACTAAAAAAAAACTTTTTGAGACCTCTAAAATTAGAAAGTTAAATAAGAAAGTCCTGCAGCAATGTCGAACAAGAGGATATCTTTATTTGTGATTTTTATTAATAGAATACATCTTTATATTGTATTTTGATTAAAATAAATCTAGATTTTGTAATTACGCGGTGTTTTGCATATTTTCAAATGGATACCCGGTTTTACCCTACTGGTAGAACAAAACAGGATACTTTGACTTTTCCACAAAATCTTGTTATTCTTGGTAACCAAAATTTTTTTTTTCAACAACTAGCCTTATTTTCTCATAGTTCAAGGTTCACTAGAGACTACTAACGGTCGGCAAAATTTTTTTTACTTTCAGATTTTTTTGTAGGAAGACAAATCCAAAAAAGTACCCGGTTTTACCCTACTTTCCCTATATATATATATAACTTGTCCAATTAATCGCAAGTAACTAATTAATAATGTTTAGTTTTAATAATATTTTTAATGGAGATAATATTTAGAATAGAACGATGTTTATATAAAATCAGCTTACACAAATATTCGCTCGTCAAAAACCAATAAAAGCGACAATGCATTTATGAAAATGATGCATATAACATTTCGCATAAATTTAATAAAATTTATACCAATAAATATCAACGACAAAGCACTAATATTTATTTTTCCATATGTTTCAAACAGATACATTTTACTAAAAGTATTTTTACTTTCTTAAAATTTGTAAATGTTCTAAATATGTGTAAATAAAAAAAAGGAAGTTTCTTTATTGTTAGTTCTCTTTCATAAATATAATCAAAATCGCCCTTTTACATCTTTAATCTTATATGCAATTTTAAAATCTTGACACGATATACTAATTTTTATTATTACTGAACGAAGAAACTTTATTATGTTTTGATAACGTTTCGGCATCACTTACAATAATATGTAATAAAAAGTGGGGATTCCTATTAAAACAAATATTAAGATAACCTTATATAATTTGACATAATTTTTGGAAAATGACAAAATATCAACATCATAATTTCCTCTTGAAACCAAGAAGCTTTTGTTCAAAACATTTTTTTTACAAAACTAGTTTTTTAAGATATTTGATATTGCACTTTAATTGGCATTTAAAATGAGACACCCTGTACATTGAATCGAGATCTTTTTTTACAGGAAGCACTTGTCAAAAGGTTAGGACCCAATGCCCACGCATTCACAATGGAGATCACACCACTAGCCCCACCATCCGTACAATTGGTACCAGCTAAGGAATACAATGGTGCACCTATAGGTACCAGCTACGATATCAAAACTTATGTCGGTGAGCAAAATAAAGCTGCTATTTTTCTTAGGTTTTATTTTTACTCTGTTTTGACGAATTCACTTTGATCGAAGAAAAGAAATACAATAGAGCATAATAATAAAACGTGATTGAAAAGTAATCGCGAACAAAATAATGTGAAGGAAATATTTGTGTAAATTTGGTACACTATACACATACACTCCATTTTTAATAAAATGTTCTCAATACAGGAAATGATATTTCGCTTATAATTGCTTGTAGTAACAATATTCGTTTATAGTTAAAGCCATAAAAACACAGCACTTTGAAAAAACGACAATCTCCTCTGATTTCAAAATAAAAAAAATCGCTGATATATTATACAATACCGATTAAAAGTATTGCATCACTTATAGAAACAGGGAAGTCGTTATTTTAATAAACAAAAAGATATATCAATATTATTAACTTATATTTTATTACTGTTATTTTATGTTTTAATATCGTAAAAATTAAAAATTATAACAAATATTAAATTCATGATTCTTCAAAATGGTTTCTCTGGCAATCATCGGATATTAATCCAATAGAACTATTGTGGGATGAACTTGATGGAAGCGTCCGAAAGATGAGATTAATTAATCAAAAACAACGGGCGGAATATTTGCAAATATGCTGGAATCAAATATTAGTAACAACTTAAAAAAAACTATTGTTAGGAATAGCAAGAGTATATACGACAATAGAAGGCAGAGATTCTGACTAATTTAAAAAATAAAAAATTTAATATTTCTATTATTGTTTGTTATAATTTTTAATTTTCACGATATTAAAATATAAAATAACATTAATAAAATATAATTTAATAATATTAATATATGTTCTTGTTCATTAAAGTAATGACCTGTTTCTATAAAAAAGATGCAATACTTTTGACTGGTACTGTATATTTCATCGATTTTCAGAATCGTTTGTAGTAACTTTTCTTCGTTTGTATGTATAGTGTGTAGTTGAATCGCTTAAAAGTTACAATATATTATCGTAACAAATTATTATTGTAATATCATGCATAATATAAGTTATTATATACTATATACCAATATAACAAATGTTAAAACCAGAGAGAATATACATATATCACAGTCAAGTTCTCAATAATCTGACCATGCTACCTGACTTAAATAAAGTGGAATACTGAATAAGAATTTTTCCAGCAAAATAACATAATAAACTAATCTAAAAAACTGATGTACATGCAAGTATTGTTTTTATGTATATTCTATTCATTAAAAAATCATTAAAGGAACTTATTAAAGAAATCGTCTAAAGGTCTAGCCTTGGCTGGCTACCTTCTCTAAAGGAGTGTAACCTTTTCAGTTACAATGAGTACCAAGATACAAGGGAATAGTCCCCCAGATTCTCTCCTCAAAGAAATGTTATGATAGAATCAGATGAAATTCATTATTTTTACTTAGCTGAGCCTTGCATAATTACTTTATAATGTAAAGAAGCAGAGTTATAACACTTTTTTTTTTTTTTTTTTTTTTTTTTAATGGCCTGTAACTCGTGGCAACGGCGTTTTTCAAAGTTGTGCCTATTGAAATATTTGATTTACTCATTGCACCCTATCAATTACCACATTTTATTTTTATGTAGCCGTTTCCTATATGATTTGAGCATCTTTTTTTATGTGATCAATAATCTGCTTAAATTTTTAATAATTTTCTGCTCATCTCTCTCTTGTAATCGTAAAAGTTGAGGCGGAAAAAATTGATCATTTTTTAATAATTGTTAATAACACGTAAGAAAGAGCTTTAAAAAACCATAAACTCAAATATTGGAAAGCCAGCTTAAATAACTTTTATCTTATCATCAGTTTTTAGAGTTCTTCACATTTTTTAGTTCATATCTGTTCATCTTTTTTCCTTTTAGAAATAAGCAGAGACCTATTTTAGCCAATTTTTGTCTTATTAATCAATTACATAATCCTCAGTTTACATAAAAAGGAATAATCAATTTTCATAAAAAAGAAAATAGCTTATAAATCTAAAAAGATTTTGATTTGTGGCATAGATTTGAGAGCGAGGTCTTTTTCCGATAAGATTTGCTCAATTATTTCTACGGATGAATTTGTGGCTTGATTCCCATTTAGCACCAGTTTTCACCTTTATTGCATCCCACACATCGTTAATATTTCATGTGGCGGACTTTAGCGGAGCGGGCAGATGAGAGATTACACCGTAAAGCCACGGTCAGAATGGGCATTCGGGTGATCCAGCGAACCGTGAAACCACCTTTACCCTCAACAACTATGTACAGTGTGCCTCCGTCTCAAGTACCATCGATCGGCTCGAGAATTCAAGGATGCAAAACAAGAGTGGAATTTGCAGAAAATGAAATCATCGAGGATGATGGTGGGTTGCGATCATGGCGTCTAATAAAGTAGATATTACTTAGATTTCAAAGTTTATTTATTTTTACTTTATTTTCTATATCTATATTTATTTTCTATATATTATTTATCTTGTCTCTTATTTGTCTTATTTGTGTAACAAGTCTTTAATGTAATGTAACATTGTAATTGCAACCCGTGTTTATACCCGGATCTTTATAAAACAGAACTTGATTCCAAACTTTTCAAATAATATGTATCTTTAATTTGATAAAAATCTGCTGATATTCTCCAATAAATTTTTATTGATAAACCTATTCATATTAAACATATTACCTATCTTGTCGCTTATTTGTCTTATTTGTGTGACAAGTCTTTAATGTAATGTAACATTGTAATTGCAACCCTGTATTTATATCCGGATCTTTACAAAACAGAACTTGATTCCAAACTTTTCAAATAATATGTATCTTTAGAGAGTTTGATAAAAATCTACTGATATTCTCCAATAAATTTTTATTGATAAATCTATTCGCATCTGTCACAAATGCAAAAAATGAATCAGAATGAATGAGCCGCAATTTTACTTCTATTTTTGCAGAAAATGTAGGACCACGTGCAGCGGTGGAAAAGCCATTTTTATTAAGTGACGGCCGCATCGGATTGGAAGCAAGACTAGATCGTGCAATTTATGCTCATGGAGACTCAATCACTGTCCACATCAATGTCAGCAACAACAGCAGCAAATCCGTAAGAAGAATAAAGGTATAAAATTCGCATTTTACATAGTCACATTTATTCTTATTTGAACCAAACCAAGAGCTGTTCTAAGTAACAACAATTAAGTGATTTATAAAATGTGTGTATTTTCTAAGTTATTTTGATTATTGAGATAAAACAAAAAATTTTTGTTTGTTTATTTAATTCTTTGAGGGCAACAGACGTATATATACGTTTTGAAGCTTTTTAAAAGATGACAAATATATATGTATATAAGTTTTTAACTTTAATCGATATAATATATGATAGAATATATAGAATATACAGGATGTCCCAGAATTAGATCGACAAACATAAAGTGGTTATAAAGGACACCAAAACAAGTCAATTCTGTCAATAAACCCGTGTCCGCAAATGAGCCGTTTGGTACTAGAGAATCAAAGACTAATAAGGGCAAAAATCTTCAAAAAAAAATTTTTTTTTTTTTCAAAATTTTATTAATATGATTAAATAGAAGTATTTTTAACATAAAATTTTTATATAAAACATTTTTTGATATCTTGAATAATTTTCGAGATACATCAAGAAAAGCAAAAAGCAGAAAGCCGCTCTACATATGAGATTTCACCTCTTAAAATCATTTTTGGACCGCAACTGGAAATTTCTAAATTCATCTATTTACCCTCCCTATACATGTGTGAAAAGTTTCATCAAAATCAGAATTTTTGGGTTCGCGAGATTCCTTAGTCTTTGAGTCTCTAATGCCAAAACGGCTTATTTACGGATACGGGCAAAATTGGCTTGTTTTGGTGTCCTTTATAACCACCTGAAGTTTATCGGCCTAATTTTGGGGCACCCTGTATATAGAATAATCGGATTTGGAATAAGTCACACTCACATAATTAAGTTTTGAAAGCATTTTTACTGAAAGACGAAATTTGGATTAATATCACAATTGCATCACGCGAAAAAAAAATCCCGAGGCTATATATTTTTAAGTCAGATCGTAGAAGGCTGGATGCTCAGAAATACGGTATGACGAAGATGGGTATTCAACTATGACTGTTGTGTGTATCTCGACTGTTCGTTTTCGACTAACTGTTTCATAGGGACGTTTTCCATAAGTCTTTAGTCATTGCTCATGCATTCCATTGGATACATAGCAAAATTTAATGGCGAGAGGCGTGTTTGAGAATGGAAGGTCTCTTGAAGATTTTGGTATTAGTGGAGATCTTTGTTTTAAAAAGAAAATTTTAGCCAATGGAGAGTTCGTTACAATCGAGTGAGGTTAACCTTATCCCTAAAAACTTAATTGATTTGTCTCATTATTCTGTACATAAAAGTATTACGGTAAGATTATCGAAAACTAAATATTTTACGAGATATTTTACGAGATATATTAAACGTATTATATAATCTATAAAAAATTAGGTAGTAAAATTAATCTGGTTACATCTAATGAAAATTTAATTATACACAAGTGCAAAAATGTAATATTACAAGGACAGCAACAAATTAATTTTTTCGTCAATTAAAATATGTCCTAAATTGTTTTATACTTTTTTAGGTACAGAAAAGAAACAAAAACAATTTCTTTTAAATCAGAACAATATTGATGTATATAAGACAAAAATTATTTATTATGGAGTTAAAAATTGGTTTGTGCAAAATTTATTTTTCTAGAAATTCAATTTTTGGCGCGTAGTCGTAATAATCAATAAGTATAATATATATACATATTTTTCTTGTTAAATTAATCAATAATTAACCAAAGAACATTTATACTTCTCCAACAATGCAAGAGACTTCACTAGCAACCTGATCATCATTTTCAAACAATTAATTTTTTTCTACTCCAAAACATCATCATCATCATCATCATCATCATCATTGGCGTGACAGCCCTTTGTGTGCCAATGCCTGCTCCAGTTTCCGCCTCCATACTCTCCTGTCCATGGGCACACTTCTCCAGCCTCTGACTCCAATGGTGGCGGCATCCTGTTCAACCCCATCCAGCCATCTAAACCTTCGTCTTCCCGGTCGTCTGCCCCCACCCACTTCACCCTGTAGGATTCATTTTGATGGGTAATCCTCTGGTGCTCTTTGTATATGCCCTGCCCATCTAAGCCGTTAGACCTTTATGTATGTCACGATGTGATGACAATTATACAGCTGGTATAATTCGTTATTATATCTTCGGTGCCATATGCCACCGATGCTGACCTCTCCAAAGATCCTACGGAGTATTTTCCTTTCGAAGATGCATAGGAGGTTTTCATCCTTTTTGCTCATTGTCCATATCTCGCAGGCGTACGTTAAGACTGGTTTTATCAGCGTTCTGTATATTTTAATTTTTGTTTTCCTGCT